GGAGCCGCCATGAGCAGCCCCTTCCCCACGCAGTGACCCCCCTTTGCTTTTATTGTTATTATTTATTTTTGGTTACCTGGAAGGCTACACCATGCCCCGCGAGCCAGGGAGCTGGGGGGCCTGGCAGGCTGAGGGTGAGGGGAGAAGCAAACCCCTGGGGGCTGCCCTGCGCCCGGCCCTGCCGGGGTTCTGCTGCTTAGGAGCTGTTTGGATATTCGGGAGCTTCTGAAAATGCAGCAGCTCCCTCTCGGTGGCTGAGCTGTGCCTGGTGAGCGTGGGGAGTGTGTGTGTGGGGGATGTGTGCTTGCTCTTGCAGCTGGAGTAGGAAACTTCCCTGGAATTTGTTCTTCTACCTGCAGGAAGCACAGGCTGCATTTGTCTCATCTGTTGTCTCTCATCTAGAGACGGTTGAATCCTAGTGACCCACTTTGGTCCTTGTGCCTTCTCAGAGTTTGATTTTCCAATTATAAGAGATGCTGAATTTAGTTTTTCTGTGTAACCTGAAACAACAGCACAAAACATAGTTCAGCTGTTAATGAATAACCAGGATGAAAGAGGAAGATGGGGTTTGCTTGGGAGACTGAAGAGGAGGTCTCTTTGTCTGTTTTTCAGACAAGAAGGAAAAAACACATGAACTGTCCTCGTCAACAATTGCAGAAGAGCCTGAGCCCGTTTCCTCTGTTCTGCAAGGAGATGACATCCAGGCACTTGCAATTAAGGTGGAAGACCTGGAGAAAGTATGTATTTTTACTGATAGAAACAGCTACCTGAACTGCCACCCTCCTTTCATTTTGTGTGTTTAACAGAAGGTGCTGTCCATTTACTTAAACTGAAACTCGCTTTTGGAGTTCAGTTCTCATTCCGTTTTGTCTGTCCTGCTTTTTCTGACTTGTTGGATCATCAGGTTCAGTTGCTAAAAGTAAAGGATTATCGATCGTTACACAATCTTTTCAAGTGGAAGATAAGTCATCTGCCTTTTCAAAGTTAATGTTTCCAACTTTCTGGTCTAATAAGATCTGTCAGTTGTTTGGTAACTATCACGGCGTCACTTCCAAAACTCGGGTCAAACTGTGTGAGCGGAAGCATTTGACACCAAGTGGCATAGCAGGAAATTATTGAGAAAATTATTTAAAACTCTCTTTTCCCTACCCAAGTTATAAAGCAGAGTCCAGAAAAGTAAGACAGTGACTAAGCTGCTATCTCTGCAGTCATGTAACGTGCCTCTTAGAGGAGAAACAGCCTGTACTGATATGACATCTCTGCATATCCTAGAAGGAATGAAGGTGAGTCAGGATGTACCTAATTGCGTTGTGGCTCTTTGTTTTCCGAAGCTCCATGCTCCACGCCTTCCCCATGATGCTGGCAGAATTCCAGTTAGGAAGAAATACTTGGTTCGAAAGTATCGACCCATAGAGACAAAGAAGGAGATGCACCTCCTCGTAGCATATCCTGATTTCCCAAAGGCACCCAGGGAACCACCGACTTTTTCTGGTAGGGTTAAACATCTCATCTTTGGGTTCTGGTTTTGCTAAGCCTAGCTTTAGTCACCTGGCTCTGAGGTTTTTTGGGGGTTTTTTTTGTGTGTGTGTTGTAGGACCAGGACTGTTTGGTGATGGCTGTGAAGAGATTCTCCCCCATCACATTTTGGGGAGCCTTCAGGAGTTCAAGATGGAAGCCTTGGCCAGAGGAAACACTCAGGTTGGTTTGTGAAGTTGCAAAAATGCTGCTGTGCGGCACTTTTTATAGCGGTGGAGTGCAGTGCCTATAGTACTTTTTGGTGCTTTCCAGCACCTATCAGGAACAGATCAGGCCTGGGGTGTGGTTTTCCCAGCCTTGTCATACTCTGGAGGAGGGCTTGCTTTCAGAGAAACTGCACCAGCAGGTTTTGAAGTCCTCTGTGCAAGAGGAGGTCATGGAGGGAAGAATTACTGAAGCTTCCTCTTCCATATGTGCTTCTGCTGATGGCATCAGGCTCACAAGGGAAGAGCTGGTGTTGCAGAAATGCTATTGCTCGAGTCTGATTACTCAGAAAAATCCTTCCACCGGTTCTGAGTATGTTCCTAGTGCCCCATTTTTGTTCCCCTCAGAGTGATTGGGTAAAAGTACTGTCAATCTGAAGAATTATTTTCTTCTCCTCTCTCCCATTCTCATGGTGGCAGTGTGTGCATGGAGAGATTAATTTAACATTTCCTTTCTCTTCAGATAGCAGATATTATTGAGGCTTCTCGTCAAGATATTACTGCAGGAGCTTTCAAAGAGGACCATGGAGGAGAGAAGAAGAAAAAGGTTCATCAGACCCCACCAGCAGAGCACAAAGCTCTCCAGAACTGGCACCATAATATGGCAGTCAGGAAAAAGCAGGAGAAATACCTAGGAGGTCAGAAAGCCTCGTTCCATTACATTCTCAGTGCAGGTGGGGGAGTTTGATGGCACCACAACAAACTCTAAAGGTCATAGCCGACCGGGGTTAATCCTGTTGCCATTGCAGTCTACTTCCATGTTCTCAGAGCTCCTCATGCTGCTAGGGCTAGTGGCCGTGGGTGTTGTGGGGAGGGGAGCTGATGGTGCTGCCTGGGGGAAGGAGAGGGGATTTGGTGGGGGACTGTAAGGAGGTTACATGTGAACAATAGTAGTGGTAAAGGGTGTGCTCAGAAGTGCAGCACCAATGATTTGACGTTCCTTCTTTACAGGAATTCTTCAGAGGCCAGAGAGTGAATTGCTGATGAACACCTCAGAGGATTACAGGCAAATCCAGGAAGAACGTGACCTCATTGACCGAGCTCTCCATGCCCTGCTTCCTGGAAAGGTGAGAGCCCCACTTCCTCTGCATCCCGATTGCTCTGTTCTTGTGAAAGAGCTAAGTAAGACACTGCTGTTATGAGTAACACCTCTGAAGACCTGTCATTAGATACTTATCAAAGCCACTCTGAGTCCTTCAGCGTAGTGTGCAAGCAGAGCTTTCAGTGATTTCAAAAATAAAAACGTGAACTGTGCTATCCATACTCACCAGAGGAAAGTGATGGTGTGCTTTGGCTCCTTGCTAACAAACTGCTGTAGATGGGCAAGTGCCATTTTTTGATTGTCACCAAAGAATGTCACACACCTATCAGGAAGTGGCATGGGGACATGCTGCAATTGCTGTTCCAGGGACAGAAAGGCCTGATAGCTTCAGGCTCAAATTTTAGTGATTGCCATGGAGAAAAGGGTATGGGTAAATCAGGAGGATTATGGGAGTATCCTGTGTTAAAATTATTTTTTGACATTTATAGCACTATCAAAGAAATTGCATTTGTGTGAAGCATTGTTTTAATATCACTCAACCTTCATGTAGCACTAGATAGAATAAAGTTCTTCTTTTGTCTTTGATAGCAGCCTGATAGAAATTTTGGCTTGCTCTGTGGAAAGTGGTAATTTATAGATTTTTAGAATAGCTGTATAAGCAGTTAGACCCCTTCTTCTTTTTAGCTTCTAATCCCTGTGAAAATATCAGGCAGCCGTACGCCTCTGAAAGCGTCAGCAAGAGCCTTGTTTTCTGCCCTAGGGCTACCGAAGAGGAAGCGAGTTTTGGAGCCAGCCTGAGCGTATTGGAGATGAACTCACTGGTCTGACGATGACACTGACTCAGACAGAACGTGGCTACCCAGAGCCAGTCACTCATGTGGGGAAACCCCGCACTGTCCGGATGGAAACGGGTAAGGGAACGTCGCAGAGAGGTGGTTCCACAGAAATGGGGTAGAAGTGTGGAGGGAGCAGCAGAATTAAATGGTGACTCCTGCGAGTACAGAGGCTCACATTATAGTTGTCCCTTCTGACAGCTGCAGCAGAACCTACTTCCCAGTCATGTGTTGGGCCTCCTCTTTAAAACACCATGAGACCAAAGTTTGTCAGAACGTGAAATCAGCAGGCATGTGGGGATGGAGCCAGTGAGTTCTTGTGTGGGTATTTCCACAGGTCTGAAGCCTCCAAAGAGGATCCCTTTCCAGCTAACCTGGGATAAGAGTCTTTTCCTGAAACATCGACGTCAGGAACTAAAATCTGTGCTACAGGAGCTAGATTTTTATAAACCGGTAAGACTAGAGGAGCAAGGACATTCTTTGCATCTCTTGTCTCTTGTCAGATGCTGTAGAGTAGCATAAAATTGCCAAGAACTGGAACTGAAAAAGCATCAGGAATCTAAAACTGAGCCCCACAGTACTTTTCTTGGAATTTCCCACATTTCCAAAGGGCCACACCCATGAAAGAGCTGTCTAGCCTGCCTAAGTGTTGCATGGAGTGGTCTAGGAGCCTCGGAATAGGACTCCAAACCAGCAGCATGCAGCTGCGAAGACCTAGGCAATAAAAACCCAGCCAAATACTGGTGTAGGACTTTGATTTAGTACCTCAGGGCAGAAGGATGGCACTTTTACCCATGTGGAAGACACGGATCTGAAATAATCTGAAGGCAGGTAGCTCCTCCTCAGAACAAACCTCACCTTTTTCTTTGTAAAACGTGGCTCTGGGGATGAGAAATGTGTGTGAAGGGGACTTCTCCTATCCATGAAGCTTTTGCAGCGGGGAGTGCAGTCATCTAGGATTCTTGGGAGACCCTGAACTGGTTCCTTCCTGTGTCTCCTAAACATTCATTGGATACCTCTAAAAACCATCATAGGGGCAAGATGTTTCAGCTTCACTTTACTTGACTCCGTTGGTACATTTGTCTGGTATTTTAACTTCCCTTCTATATAAAGAGAGTAATTGTGGGTTGATTGTTTTTCTATATGTCCAGGATCTGGATGGACTGGAGGTGATTGGTAAAGGGCAGCCTTTCACATCTGTCTCGACAGAGCCTTTTCCACGTTCCACCACTTCTGAACAATCTGAGACCCTGTAAGTTTTAGTTCATGGCAGAAATAAAGAATTTTGGGTATGTGCCACAAGTCCTTAGCTGTTCTTATCCAGAACAGAGAGGAATCTCCACTGGGGCAAAATAAAAGGCATATTCTAATATTATAATCACCAGATTTAGGAATTAAGCAGTTCCTTTGTGCCTTGGGGCCTTGTGCCTAAGGAGCAAGAATCAGAGAAAAGCTTTTTGAGGCCCTTCCTCCAGTCTTCCCTCTGTGTGGCTCCAGAGCTTCCATTAGGCAGGGTGGGGATTCTGCTCTAAAGGACCTCCATCTGGTTGTCTTTTTCCAGCCTTACACTTCCATCATTAATTTGCCTTTTTTTGGTGTCCTGTCCATCTGTAACAGGCACAACCCGAGGACCTCTTCTTATTCAGTCTTGGCCTTCCTTAGGCAGGCATCATTTAATATTCTGGCTGGCCTGTCCTTGGTGGTGACGAGTGGCTGTCTGGAGTTTACCACATCTGCAGGGCTCTGACCCTAAGGAGATGATGTGGAAGAGCATTAGTGGGGATTATTTCTTCTAGGGTCTTGTAAATCACCCCTGGTTCTCCCCTCTCTGAAAGTGAATTTCACTCCACGAAAACACTGACTCTTATTTCTTTAGCAGTGACTCCTCAAGGGACAACCCCAGTGTGGTTCCAGAAGCAGTACGGGGTCCATCTTTAAATTTCTGTGGTCAGCCAGCTCGTTGGATCAACTGCACCACTTCTTGCAGGGTAATTGTGCGCTTTTTATTGTTTAGTCAAGCTAAGCCTGCTTGAGTTCCCAAGTCACAGCTGTACAATGATTGTCACTCCTAGGCCAGAGAATGGGGATTTATTCTGAGCATAATCGATTATCCCTACGTTTGCTCTGGACAGATCTGGAAGCAGAAGGGCTTGCTCTGTCTGTGGTGTGAAGCTCAGCTTCCCAGGCTCGCTCTCTATAGTGGCCACTTTGCTGGACATGCCTTACGAGTTCTCCTACCATGGCTCAACCCCGTATTTGGGATATGACTTCAGGCAAGATAAATCCTGCCAGATCGAGTAGAAGTTGTTATCTTTGTTTTTTTCCTCTTCCTTGTAGGATGACATTGGCATTGCTGCCCGGCTCACCTTTGAGACTTTGGCTGGTGAGAAAGCAGAAAGCTCCCTGACGGTGAGCAACGATGGCACAACTGCCATCTGGTATAACTGGATGAGGCTTCCCCAGCAGATTCCCTCCCAAGAAACCGAGAGGAAGAGGATGCCGTGTTTTTACTTTGATACCAGGCCAGGTATGAGAGCTGCTGATTAATGAAACCTTTGTATAGAGACCAGAGAGCACACATTCAGGAGTTCTCTGAGCTGCTGAGTGTGACAAATGGCAGAGCAAGCCTGTTGGGTGATTCTCCCTAGGAAGCCACCCTGGGCATCAGAGCTGACTCACACGAAAGAGCTGTGCGAAGCGCATCCCTTCTGTGGGACTTAAAGGAAAGGAGGTGGCTCCTGCTCTGAGTGTAAATGGGCGGAATATTGAGAAGTGAATCATTTTCTGATGGCGAACTGGGTATAATCTGCCACAGAGAATACTGAGCTTGCTGTTAAAGGAACGTGCAGTGGAAGTAACACCAGTTCAGTAACCTGGTGACTGGGAGTAAATCTGGAAGGAGGAAAATAGCTGGATGAAGTGTGATAACCAGCTAAGCTTGGGGAAGGAGTCTTATGCAGAAATAAGGACACTCAGGGTGGGGTTGGAAAAGGGTCAAGTTAACCAGGTGGTTTCTCACAGACCGATGCATTTTCTCTCTTATTTCAGGTGTAATTTTGCCTAGAGAAACTAGGAAGTTTTCCTTTCTTTTCAAGTCAGAGAGAGCAGGCATTTTCAGCGAGGCCTGGGAATTCAGGACACATCCTCTGTTATTAGGAGGAGCTCTGCTGCAGGTGACCCTTTGGGGAATTGCTGTGTATGAAGATAAATTGGCTGACCTCAGAGAGAAACTGGAGGTAACCAAGCGTGTAACTGGGTAACTGTGAGCTTTGTACTTAATATGCAAATAGAGAATAAGGGTGGGAGTGGATGACATGGTATTTTTATTGCTGTGTAATTAGGGCTGAGAGCCAGATGATTATTTATTTACAGACGTTTGTACATATACTTGAGCAGGTTTGCTAAATGGAAGAACTCTGTAGCCCATTGTAATGCTGTAAATAAAGACGTGATTGTGTCTCCTAAACTGTTCACATTGGTCCTTTAGAGAATGAATTTTCTGTTGGTAATTAATTTTGTTAGTTACTTAGTGGGTTGGGATCATGTGTCGTACACTGTGATATCAGCTAAGGTATAAATTGAAAATTATACTACGCTTTGAAAAGTATCGTTTGGGGGAGGATTTGTAGGGTTTATTTGAAAAGCTGTTGTAAGTATTGCTCTGCTTAGCGGGGTTTGCAGTTATTCTTGTCCTTGTAAGCCTGTACAATGTGTACATATGGTTACTAGCGTGGGTGTGATTTTGTTTGCGTGTCTGCGTATGGAACGGGGACTCACACATGTTCTGCTTGTTGTGGTGCCTCAGAGTGACCTGGGTGCTCGAGAAGGTGCTACTATAGTAGAAGAGATTCTGAACGAACTTCTTGCCCGAATTCGGACCCCAGAGCGCACCCCATCTCCTGTGGATGCCTATGTCACAGAGGAAGAGTTGTTCCACCGGAAGAACCCCAAGGTGATGTTTGCTATTTGATGGGCTACGCAACTGATACAGCGGGGACGGAAGACCCATGGGGCTGGTACATCCCTGGGTTTCTGGAGGCTGGCACAGTCTGCCATGGTGGCTTTAATTGTTAGGTTTGTAGAGGAAAGGCAGAGCTCGTTTCACTATTTACCTTTTCCCCATTATCGCAGTTGCATTATCAGCATGGAGTGGTAAAGCAGCTGCATGAACTGTGGAGACAGCATGTGACTGTTCCTTCAGCCTTTGAGGAGAAAGTGCCCTCGGGCGAGAACAGCACTGCGGAGGACACACAGTGCCAGGAGAGTGCCTCGGAGGGTCTCCGCTCTCAGAGCAGCAGTGCAGAGGTCACAGGCTGGAAGAACACACTTCAGGAGGCTCAGAGTCAAATGACAAACCTGGAGGAGGAAGAACCAGGCTCCACCAGATGGAACCTCTCCTTCGAGGACTTTAAGGAGGTGGTCATCCCTGTTCCGTCTAGTGCTGTGACAAGCTGATGGTGTTTTTGTTTTCCCTGCAAATAGCCCAGCCTACCCCAGTGTGAGCCCACCCGAAGGTCTGCTTCCAATGTGCTGTGGGTTAGGGATAATTTATGATGTGTGTCACAGAGAAGCGCTTCAGCTCTGCTGACCACACCCTCAGTGCTCTTGGAAAGAGATTCCCAAGGGAGACTTTGAGGGCTGTTGTGTGAAGAAGAAAAGAGAACCACACAATGTAATAGATAATTTAAGCTCATCCCCCCCATTAGCTTTCTGTCATCCCAGGACTGAATGCAGGGGGCAATCCTACAGCCTCCTGGGGCTTCCCCAAGGGCTTCTCCTTGGAGAGTCCTTCCTATTCATCAGAGCACTCGAGGGATGCTCCTGACAGGCTGTGGATAAAGTACAGACCTCCCTAGATTAGCAAGAGTGGTTTGGGTTCTGTCAGCAGAGTTTTTCTGTAGTGCTCTCTTGGAAACCTCTCTGCTGCTTTTAGAACCGATCTTTACTTCGAGGCCTTCTAGCTTGCTGGAATCCCTGTTATCCAGCAAACCTGGGAAGCTGCAAAGGGGCTTACTGGGAATCTGATTGGGGGGGTCTGGGATTGCTCCCCCAATCTTGGGTTGTGTGTGCACCTTGGCCAAATCACAGATGTATGGGAGGCCACATCTGGGTGTGTAAGTACCCAGTGCAGCCTGGTTTCAGACTGGTGTCCAGGGAGAGAGCCCTGGTGTGCTCCCTTGAGCTCAAGAGTCCACAGACTGGGAACGAAGACTGGGAAGAAGCGCGCACTTCATGAACCCTGTGTGTTCTCTCACATCAGGCTATAAAGTCAATCCCCAACGAGGAGCAGCGAGAAGCAGCACTGACCCAGCTCAATAAGGCAGCGCTGGAGCTGTGTGTTGAACAGAGGCCAGCTCAGTCAGACCTTTTGTATCAAACCTGGTGCGTTACCTTTGCAAGATAAAGCTTGTAAATGCATGGTGTGATCAACAGCCTTAGCAGGCTCTGTTTCAAGCGTTGTGATTCAGAGTGCAAATAATTATATGAGGTCTAGAAGTTGTCTTTACACTGTGGGTTTTTTTAATAGATTAATTGTAGCAGCTGTCTAGGACCCAAATGCCATTACTTTTTCAGGAGATAAGTTTAGAATATTAAATTAATGTCATTTTGGGGAGTATACAAGATTATTTCTGGTGAGATTATTCTAGTCTATATTAATGAAACATTTGGGTAATTTTCTGTACCATTTAACTTAGGTAACTGTATCCTCCCTCATACAGTCTCTCTGTTCTTTACTCAGGCTTTCAGACTGTAAACATATGAACAGCTTCTAATTGCTTCTAAATTAGAAGGGTGCAGGTTCCTTTCGGCAGAGACAGAGAGCAGGTCGATGCTGATTTACCACCACGCGTCATGCTGAAGAGCAGGAGACCTAGTTTCACAGTAATATTTATGGGTCCATATGAGCCCATTGGTTTGCAAACCATTGAAATCTCAGAGGGCTCAGACATGAGGAAAGTACTTCAGCATCCCTCTGCACAGGTTTTTAGATGGTGGGTGCTATTTTATTGGTTTGGTTGGACAGAACAGCTCCCAGCTGTAAGGTGCCTTCACTCCTGAGCACAAGGTAAAGCAAGATGGCTGTTGCTGTACTTGTCTCCCTTCTGATTCTGACACTTTTCTCAGTCTCCAGCTGTGGCGTGAAACAATTGATGGTCTGGTGAGTCACTCTCTGAGGCTGAGATCCCTGCTTGGCTTGCCGGAGAAGGACACCTATGTCGACGTTGTTCCAGAGGAAGCAGGTAAATGGTAGTTTGAGCACAGCAACTGGCCTGTTGGAAATCCAGAAAACGTGCTGAATTTCAAGTGGAATGGCAACTTCAGCAGTTTCCCCTCAAAGCTTTTATGACAAAGTGCATCAGAAAAAAAAAGGCAGGTTGTGTGATACTAATTGCGATCTGTGGTTTGGTGTCATTAAAAAACCACCACACAAATAAGGCTTTTAATGTAGTTAGATGTAGCCATGGTTTTCACCCAGACTAACCCAGAAAACCCTGTCTCACTATCAGCTGTTTTACAGGCTTGTTCTGATACAGGTCTGTGACGTCTTTGTTCCTTATTTAAACAATGTGCTCGTCAAGTATTGTTTTTCAGAGCAGTACAGCTCAGATTATTAAAAAAAGGAAAATACATTGCAAAAGTAATATACTTCCACCCGTGAGTGTGGTGGGCTTGTCTTCTGGATGTGAAAATGTTGCTTTTGGGTAACTGAAATTCTTTCTTTTGTAGTGGAAGTAAAGCAGCCTGTAAAAGGAGGAAGGGAAGACAGAGTAACCACTAGAAAAGAAGAGAGAAGGTCATTTGATGGTAGAGATAAGGAAGGCAAAAAAAGAACAACAAAGACAGCAGGGAA